ATGCTTGATAAACTTTTTTTTCGACATATTAATGAATTGTTTACTTGCCTTTACATATTAATCTTGACATCTCTGATCTTATGAACAAACAATTCGAGGGAACCATACTTCCAGAGAACCAACGCTTCAGCATTTTATTATCTGCCATCTTCATCCTTTTGAAATTGTTTCTTTTGCACTGCTATGCTGCAATTTATAATATAACTTCATCCAATCCATTATCTCAAAATGAAATCCTTATCTCCCCTACCCAAGTTTTTGAGTTAGGCCTTTTTTGTCTTGATAATACCACTAATCAGTATGTTGGTATATGGTATAAAAATATTGCTCCTCGTACAGTTGTTTGGGTGGCCAACAGAGAGAATCCAGTTATTGATTCATTGGCAAGTCTAAAGATTGGTAGTGATGGAAATCTGAAGATTGTAGATGAGAATGAAGTAACTCTCTGGTCAACCAATGTTTCTGTCCGATCAAATAGTTCAGTGGCTGTCCTTTTGGATAATGGGAACTTCGTTCTACAGGATGGTTTATCTGAACAGCAATTATGGCAAAGCTTTGAGCACCCAGGTAATACTTTATTACCAGGTGCAGGTATCGGGTATGATCGTGAAACAGGTGAGAGGCGTGTCTTGTCCTCCTGGAAAAGTAATAGTGATCCATCACGTGGTGATTTTGTCACTGAAATTGTACCGCGGTCACCACCACAAGCTTTAATTTGGAACGGATCAGTGCCTTACTGGAGAAGCGGGGAGTGGAATAAACTACGGTTTATTGGTCTACAAGGTATGGATTCAACATATTCAAGAGCAATTAGCCTTGTATTGAATGATGATCAAGAAAGTGGGTATTTCTATTTAAGTCTTAACACCACAGACACATCTATTACCATTTTATCCGAAGGAACTCTAAAGATAATGTCTTGGAGGAAAGACACAGGCTGGTATTCAACATGGAAAAGACCAAATAATACATGTGATGTCTATGGAACTTGTGGACCTTTTGGGATCTGTAAAATATCTGAATTTCCTATTTGTAGCTGCCTTGAAGGATTTGTACCGAAGTCAGATGAGGAATGGAACAAAAATAATTGGACAGGAGGGTGCGTTAGACGAACTGAATTAAGTTGTTTGGCAAAGACAAGTCTGGAAGCGTCACAGGGTGAAGAAACAGATAGGTTCTGGAAAATGAATGGAATCAAGCTACCAGATAAGTCCAAGTATCAAGATGTTAAAGATGTGAATGAATGTGGACAGTGGTGCTTGAATAACTGTTCTTGCAAGGCTTATGCATATGTAATGAACATAGGGTGTCTGCTGTGGAGTGAAGACCTTATAGATATGCAAGAGCTCTCCAGTGGTGGGGAAGATCTTTTCATTCGTCTTGCGTCATCAGAATTAGGTGATCATATAATTGACTTAAGCAATATTTTCAAAATGAATTTAGTTTCTTCTTGATTCTTTTTTTTTTTCACTTCAGAATGACTCATTCATCTTTATTCATTTCATTATTCCTTCTCTTCATTTTCCCCCTTCAGTATTTTTAGCTCACAGGAAGCTAAGAGTAGATCTCATTATCAGCCTCACAACAGTTTCTTGTATCATTATCTTGGGTGCCTTAGTCTATGGTTTATGCTGGCAGAGATAAAAAAAAATTGGTAAGAAACTAATTTTAAATCTTGATACTTGGACTTATCTGGGTGTACATTTTCATTACAGCTAAATCTTCCCAACTATTGGTTAATTTCATGATTGACATTTACTTCCATTTTTTTGGTTTGTATAAATGGAAATTTTTACTCAGTTTTTGGATAGAACGCCATTCACTTAGGTCCTGGCAAATCAAGATCCAGGATGAACTAGTCATTTGGCGGAGATTCTTTTTCTATAGCAATTCTAGGATATTCGTAGGAAACAATAACTGTCCTAATGATCAATTTTAGAAAAAATTTTCTTGATGACTAGATTCCTAACTTAGTATATGTCAGGCGATAACCACTGATTGCTCCTTTATGACTTTTGGGCTAAAAGCCATGAGGGTAAGCCCTGCATCACTTTCTTGTCAGAAAACATTGTTACATAATACATACAATAGCCTTTCTTTTTTGTTATTTTCTTATACACTTTTTCCTTTCATGGCTTGGAATAGATGAATTCATTACTTGAATCTGAAAAATCAGGTAAAAAAAGTCGAACCTCAGAAAACTTTGATCCAGAT